GTCATAAAGAAAAATTATTTTTAATGAAGATTAGATTTTATGAAAATGGTTTTACCCAAAGATAGTCAAAATCTCTCCACACTGGAATTCCATACCATAAATTGTACTGTAAAAACATGAATCTATCTCATTCTTTGGGTAACTAAATCTAGAAAATAATAATATAAAAAACATTTAAATAATTACAAGTGTCTTCCTCCTCCAAAATTCGTCTGCTTTCTCCACGGCGACTTTCCTTAGAATCTCTTCCCCTCGTTGATCCTTCTTCTCATATTCCTCAACCTCTTTCAATGCCGCGTCATTGACAAGGCGCAAATTTCTTAACCTGCGCACACCTGTAAGGACGTGCGCACGATAATATGGACGCGGCGCCGCTGTCCTTCGTCTCGAAAGCGAGAACCGCCTTCAATTCCGCAGCTGCTAAAGCGGAGCGCGTCTTCACTGATCTCAAATCCGATCGAGGTATTATCTCTCTCCCTCTTCCCTTAGCTTCCGCTTCAATTTTGACTTTATTATTATTATTTTTTCCATTTACTAAAATTTGACTGATGCATAGACTCTTTATCGCTCCACCTCTGATTTGTATGCCTTCTCTCCTGTTTAAAATCCGTTTCTCGTTTCGATTGAATCAAATTCTATTTCGGGTTGTTAACTTCAAATTCTATTTCGGTTTTGTTTGTTTTCTTTGGTGATGTTCATTTGATTTAACTCGTGAGTGCTATTTTTTCTATAATTGGGTTGAAGAGGAGGAGCAGCAATCGACGACGAATGAGAATGAACCTAAGGTAAGCCAATTATGGAACCATATAGATTCAATTTCACAAGAAAAAATGTGGAGAAAACGAATATCAAATAGATGTGAAGATTATAAACATTTCTAGGATTTTGATGTGTATTTGAATTTTGGAGGTAGTAACTAGTACTCTAGTCACATAGATATGTTTTCTTTTGGGATGATGTGAAGCAAAAGCAGCTTACTTGAGACTGTTAAAGAGCTGTATAGCAGAAAATGAAGTGGAATATGAGTATTATTGTCCATAGATATATATTTTTAGTATCTGCTAAATGGAAATGCTGGGCACAGGAGGAGAATGAAGTGACGCCTCAGGGGTGGAGAACTGCACATATTAGGAAAAAGCAAGAGTGGCAAAATAAACTCAAGAACTTGAGAATTGGGAGGAAGGAAGTAGTTGAAGATAAAGACAAGACTGAGGATTCAACCATGCTTGCACCATTCTATGACCAAAATTCGCTCATTCTTAAAGCGCAAGAACAAGAAGCCAAGGTATTAATGGTTTACTTTTCCAGATCATTTTTTGTTGCTACGGATGTTGCCAGAGCATGCCATTTGTCTTTAGTCAAGAATTTGATTTAACTTTTTTCTTCTAACGGAAATGTTTAGGCATCTGATGTTGGTAACTTGGTAGAAGTTCTAAATGCTGTTGATGTGAACAGCATTCCTCGGGCATCCATTGTGAAGCAGCTGGCTGTAGCCATCGAGTGAGTCTAAAACACATGTTTTGACACAGTTTTACATCATGTACTTTCTGGCTATTAAGTTTTCAAAAGAGTCAGTTATAGGTTTGAATTGTAAATAATCGACAAGGTTGAAGTATATGTATTAACAAATTTTCTGTACTCTGGCGAAAGCATATTGCTTTGTCTCGCTCTGCTTTCTTTTTATGACCTTGTGGCTTTTTTCAGAGCGGGGAAACTGGCTAAGACTATGAAAGAGTTTGTTGCAGCTTCTGGAAGTTCATCACCAGTGAGGGAGAGAGGAGGCTTGAGCCTCTCTGCGGTGAAATCGATGGTTCTTGGTGAAAAAGAGGATAAAATTGGTTTTGATTCAAGAGACGAGGAAAAACTTGTTTCTTTAATAAATGCCATGTTTAATGTTGGTAGGTCTGCCTATCACGGGGAAAGTTATCAAACTGCTATATATTTTCCTGCTGTTTTTAATTTTGGCAAGTTATTCACAGATGGTAACTTCCTCATCAGAATGATTGTCTCTGATTTGGAGTCTCCTACCAACAGAGCATCTTTTGCAAAAGATCTCCATGTTGCTCCCCCTAATAGTTTTGTTGTTAAGCTAGCTGAAGTAATTGGAAGTTTTACAACACCAAGCAGAATGGCTTTGTTCTGGTGCAGGATCGTTGATGAAGTAAGTTACTCTGTTGCATACGTTTGGCTTTAGAATATCCCTTTTCACACTTACAGTATGACAGCTACTTACGTATTAATATGAGATGGATAGTTCACTCTGTTGGTGTATGTTCCTTAATCCTTGGATAAGTCACAGTAACGAATGTAATATACTGTAGCTGTATGATAACCTCTCTCAAATTATCTACATGTGCAGTTGAGGAGATTTTGGATAGAAGAGAAACACATACCATGGATACCTCCAGACGAGAATCCGGATTTAAAAAGTTGCCTACTTCACCAATGGTTACAAGTTATAAACTGCTGTCTTGCCAGGAAAGCACGCTGCATAGCTGCTTCTAAAGCATTAGATGCTGTAATGAGCCAAGCCAGTCCAGCCAATGAAAAGTCAGATATTTCGGAAGCAATGGGTTCTCCGGTTTCCCTTTTGTATGCTAAAAATAGCACCGGAGAACTCATACTCCGCCTAGGCGTCCACCACCAAGTTCAGAACTTAACAATGTTGGAAACTGGTGAACCTGTGTATGCCCCAATAACACAGGTTCGTAACTTCTGTCGTAGTTGAAAGAAACTGTAGTTATCTTCTCCTCTCAAGTCTTATTTTTTTTTTTAATTTATATCCGTGTAGGAAGGTCCGTTGTTGACAGAAGATCTTATTAAAGAAACAGAGGAACTAGTATTGCGGACAGGGAGGTGAGTGCAAATGATTACTCCATCCAGTTGGCAATATCTTTTCTATGGGCTGTAAAATTAAATTAATCTGCGTCTTTATCATGAGTTGGCTATCTGGTTTAGTAGCATCGTTAGACATTTTCCAGATATCCAATTTTGTTGATAGATTGGATTGTTTTCTTTCTTATGGTTCAGCATGGGGGCTGGGTGTTCTCAACTCTTGTCTGACATGCAGGCTTTCAAGGTAATAGTTTCAAAGTTGATGTTCTTAGTGATGTGATGTTTGGAGTATAAGTGTTGATGTAAGGGGAAAAAGATGCTGATATTAATTTTGATTTGTGTATCTACCTCGGTTAGGCAGCAAATCCTGGCTGTATTTTGGAAGATTTTGTAAGATGGCATTCTCCTCCAGACTGGACTGAAAATGATACTTCTTCTGGAGATGACTCTTCTCCCCTACGAGGTCAATTAAGCATCCGGATGCAAAAAGAAGGTTTGACCTTTTCTCCTGTTTTATTTCAATCACGATTTACCATGTCCCAGTTCTTCCTGTGCTTTAAGACATTGTAGTAGTAACCAGCCTTTCAAGTCTGGCTCTCAAATTTTGGTTTGCGACTTTTATGTGTTCTTAGGTAATTTGTGGCGCGAGCTGTGGGAAACAGCGAAACCATTGCCTGCGGTTAAGCAAACACCTCTCTATGATGAAGATTTAGCTGTGTAAGTGTCAAATACATGTCATATTAGTCATAGAAGTGGATCCTGTGTTTGATCTTGCCCGTTGCCATAAAATGTATAACAGGGAAGGAATCTTGAATTCTTTGGAAGACATTCCGCCTGCTGAACTTTTCGAGCAACTTTTTGTTTCTCTTGTAAGTTTCCCCCATCAAATCGCTTAGTATCATTTCTCTTATTTTCTGTATTTGTAAGATTTTTGTGCAGCCCTTGTTTAGAGGAAGAGTCTTCGATCCGTACGCATTATTTATAAGGAGCATCGAAAATTTGCACTTTTTGAATGCTTGAATCCTTGACAATGAAGAAAATCATAGTCTCAAATTCTATAAACTTGTGGTGTTTTACACAGATGTTGATATAGCTTAAGAAATCGACAGAAAGAAAAAAACAGTTAAGATATTAGCTTAGCTACAAACAGCAGTTGTGACGATCGGGATTGGTTCTAAAATGTACAGGTTGCCCTGGGATTTGTAATGGTGGAGCCAGTAGTAGCCACAAACGATGACTTGTCAAAGCTCTTCTTTGAGTGCAAGGATTATGTAGTTGCGACCTGCCAGGGAGACGCATGGACCGATAAGCTTGATGATCTCTGCCAGGTACGTACCTACTGTTAACTATATGCACACCTTCACAACCTTGGACAAATATTTGACAGTCTCACGTAGCTATCACACCTTAATAGAGATATAGAAAATTTAACAGATGACAAAGTAAAGGCTATGTGGATATGAACTAACATGATTCATCTGAGTCATACATTTCAATTTCCATTTGATTTCTTCTTGATAGATTTGGATTGTTTTTGCTTTGATATTGATAGGTGTATGAAACTGTGGAAACAATGATAGTACGTCCAGAAAAAGTCTTGAGATCAATGAAGCAAACAGAGGAGTCACCGTCAAGCGAGAACGGAACAAAACGGCGGTTCAAGAGGCTGGGCTTCATCTTCCGTGGTAAAGAAGGAAACAAGAACAAAGTTCAAACAGAAACTGAACAGAAAAGTAAAAGTAGCGAACCGAGCCCGCGCCAGTCTTTCTCTAGTCTTTTTGATGGGAAGTCGTCTCTGTTTGCAAAGAAACCACCTAGACCTGCTGAAAATGGGACTCCTGTCTGAATTCTTTTTTATTTTAATTGTTTCATCTGGTTTTGAGTCATTTCTCAATATATTTTTTTTGCTCTGGGTTTAGGTTGTTAAGTTAATCTTACTGGTTGTGGTTGATAACTGTAAATTTATTTCATTGAAAACAATTCTCAGAGGGTAAATGATCTGCTGAAATGAAAATGAATAAAGATTCGAGAAAGCGAGTAAAGCTTTTTAGTCTCTTGTGTTTTTGCAAATGTATATATGTTGCGGGAAGCTTCTAAATGCGTGACTAAAGCAATTTGTCTAAGGTAATATGAGGTTTCGGGCCAATGGGGGAGTGCTGTCATTGCAACGGCAGCGTTTTGAAGCTTTCTCTGTGTTCATCTTGAGAGTACTGATCTGCAATATTCATTTTTAATCAGAAAAAGGCAAACAAAGACACGTGTAACAATCTTGTGAAGTGGCTGGCCATATTCTTGTAACATGCTCAAAGCTCTCTCACAGAAAAGTCATATGCGTTTCCCAGTCGTCATTCAATTCTGCAAACCCTAAGCTTCCTCACTCCGCGTTGAAGTTTCTCTTTTGGTTAGATTCCTATCTCTCTCTATATATTGGATTATGCTTGGTGAACGAATCTGAGCAAATCATTTTGGTTCACCAAATGGCTTTGGCGTGATCTGAGAAGCCATCTTGTATATGATTGTAGAATCCATTTCATTTGTTGTGATTCGTCTGTTACAAGTATTGAATTTCAGCGACATCTATTGATAATTTGCTTATCGGAAAACGTTTATAGAGATTCGGTGCGAAGGGATGATGTTGCGTGCTGTCATAAGGAGAGCTTCCACTAGAGGCTCTTCTCCTTCTTCGGTTAGTCTTCCTTCTCTATTTAGATTCGTCCATGTTTTTTTTTTTTTTTAATTTGATTTTTCCGAAATATGATTCGATCTCTCTCTTCCTCTCAGGGATTGGGGAAATCACTGCAATCATCTCGTGTTGCAGCATCTTCACAAAGCTTTCATTCTCTTTCAGCAACTGAGGTAACGTTTCTTCTTGATCCTGTCGCGTATCTTTATATTCAGATTATGTTTGCCAGACATATCTGTCACTTGATTATCTTTGTTAATATGTGAACTCGTACTCTATTCCATGAACAAGCCCTTTTTATTTGAATATTACAGACTCCTGTGCCTCGTGGAAGCCATGCTCGTAGCTGCTGCTTCCATCATCGTTCTTGTACAGGTATTTTACTAAGGTACCTTTGTTGTTGTCATTCTTTTGGCGGTTCTTTGATTTAACAATCCTTCTCTTGTTTTTTTCAGGGTGTTCAGAGTGCTCCAGGTTAGGAACCTCGATTTCGTTTTGTTCATGCATAGGCTTAAAATCTCCCACGTAGTTTTTCATCCTTACAAGTTTTATATTAATGTGTGTAGGACTGTTCTCAGCAGCTTCCAAGGCACTGCCCTACAAAGATGGGTCAGGCCTTTTTCATCTGATAGTGGTATGCTTTACTCTACCTTAAGATCATTCTACTATTTAGAGTTTTTATGCACCTAACAGACCCTTTATAATCAATATTTGGAATTTTGGATAGATGATATATTTCAGCTAACCTACAATATTCATTTCGTTTATGATTCAGACTTTATGATATGTTTAGCTCAATTGGTTTTTGGTCTATACTGTTACCCTAACTTGTATTTCTAGTCTTTTTGACACACTTTTTTGTTGTTTTTGTTAATTGTTATTGAAGGAGATGTCGTGGAAGCTGTTGTGCCTCACATGGGTGAATCAATCACCGATGGAACCCTAGCCAACTTTCTCAAGAGTATGCTTTTCCTTTCACTATCATCTTCTTGTTTGGTACATGTAGCGTATGTATCTTATAATAATTCTAATGTTGGTACTACTTGGTGCTTCTAATGTTATTATTGCAGAACCTGGTGACAGAGTAGAGGCTGATGAGGCTATTGCACAAATTGAAACCGACAAGGTGTCAAACAATTACTTGCTTTATTATCTCTTATGTTCTTCTTTTTCCCTGTATATGTTTTTTAGGTTTACACTTCACATGTGTAGCTTAGTATAAGACTTGTGTTTGATTCGGCTCTGTGCTTTAGGTGACAATAGATATTGCTAGCCCCGCAAGTGGTGTTATCCAAGAGGTAATATATTCCCGTTGTTTATTTTGGTTCTTCTCTTGTGTTCATTTGCCTAATTGCATTTATCATTTTACGCAGTTTCTTGTCAAGGAAGGAGATACTGTAGAACCAGGAAACAAGGTAGCTATTATTTCAAAGTCTGCAGATGCTGTGTCTCATGTAGCACCCTCAGAAAAGACACCAGAGAAAGCTGCTCCCAAGCCTTCTCCTCCTGCTGAGGAGCCCAAGGTTGAAAGTCCTAAAGTTGCGGAGAAACCCAAGGCATCATCACCGCCACCGCCAACTAAACAGTCAGCCAAAGAACCGCAGCTTCCTCCTAAGGATAGGGAGAGACGGGTATGCAAACTTTTTTTATTTTGTGTATACTTCTATAATATGTATTTCATGTTCCCTGTGAGATAAAAGCTATTTACGTTCACATGATTTCATGACATGGCATGGCATCTTAACAACGTTGCAGGTTCCTATGACAAGACTTCGCAAACGTGTGGCAACTAGGCTGAAAGACTCTCAAAACACTTTTGCGTTGCTTACAACATTCAATGAAGTTGATATGTGAGTTGCAGCTAAAACCCTTATATGTCTTTACTCAATATGAAATTCTTAAACTGCACTAATCATTACTCAGCCCTTAGCTCACCAACATGATCTTGCTTTCTAACGTAGGACCAATTTGATGAAGCTCCGATCTCAATACAAGGATGCATTTTTTGAGAAGCACGGAGTGAAGTTGGGGCTTATGTCTGGTTTCATCAAAGTACGCTTGAAAAGTTTCTGAACTAATTAACGTATCAGAACTCTGCATAATAATATTCTCTAACCCTTTGTTTTCAGGCTGCTGTCAGTGCCCTCCAGCACCAACCAGTAGTAAATGCAGTTATCGATGGAGATGATATCATTTACAGAGACTACGTAGATATCAGTATTGCTGTTGGTACCTCTAAGGTTTGTTTCAGCAATTCTCTTGATAGATTGATCCAAACATTGACTTATATAATACCATCTTAAGGTTTTAAGGTAGTATTGATTGATTTTTTTCTTCCTGTTTCCAGGGTCTTGTCGTTCCAGTCATCAGAGGTGCTGACAAGATGAACTTTGCTGACATAGAGAAAACGATAAACTCTCTTGCGAAGAAGGCTAATGAAGGAACCATTTCAATCGACGAGATGGCAGGAGGATCATTCACAGTATCTAATGGTGGTGTCTATGGAAGTCTCATAAGCACTCCTATCATCAACCCTCCTCAGGTAAGATTCAATCCTCACGATACTAAAACCTGAACAAAAGGTTCTTTTACTCCCTTACTAACGCAAACCAAAAATATCATTTGTAGTCTGCTATTCTTGGAATGCATTCAATCGTGCAACGTCCAATGGTTGTGGGAGGAAGCGTAGTGCCAAGGCCAATGATGTATGTTGCACTGACCTATGATCATAGGCTTATTGATGGAAGAGAGGCTGTGTATTTCTTGCGCCGTATTAAGGATGTTGTGGAAGATCCTCAGAGGCTTCTTCTCGACATATGATGATAAATAAAAAGATCAGAGACCAAAAGAGATGATAAGTCTCTTTGTCCTTTTTTTACCAGTTTCCTTTCAGGTAAACCGTTGCAGATATTGCAATCTGTGAATGATACTTCTGAAGAAGTGTTTCTTAATAGTTTCAAGAATTCTTGCCGCGCAGTGAAAGCATCGGTCCATTGATTTTTTTTTAATTCATATACAGATTACGATTTTTTTTTTCTTAAATAATGCCACTGACTTTTTATCGAGTCAAAAGATTCTCATTTCCATCGAGATTGTTAATGATGTGATTCAATTGATAAGCACTTTGCAGTAGTAACCACGATAACCTAATTCTTACAAATTTCGTAACTGCACTTCCTTCCTGTTTTGGTCGTCGCGGATACTCTTTCAACACTTTTGACAATTGGTTAGATAGTGAACCGTGAACGGGAAAAAAACTAAACTGTGTTAAGCTTCTTTATCGTTAGAGATATCACTCAGTTAGATTCTTCGGACATGATTCAATACAAGAAGTATATAAAGTCTTCATATGCTGACTAATATGCTCTCTTTTAGCCGTTTCTTCTTCACCAATTGGATCAGTACCATGCTATAAAAGTGGCGAAACAACCTCTGTTAGTTTAGAAGAGCTTTTTCAGTGAAGTTTGTACCTCTTTCCAATGGAAATTGCAACAGAATACGTTTACCTTCTCAAAGACATCAGACGTGTTTGGGATTCTTGCTCTACTGTACTTGCTGCAGTCACTGGAATCCTTATTATCTATATCACTCTAGTAAATGGGGCCTATGCTCAAAGTTAGCCAAATATTTCTAAATAGTATATATATTAAAAGGTTAGGTCATATAATTGGGGTGGTGGTGGTAATTGATTGGTGGAAGAATAATATCACTGACAAAGATCCTAGATTTGTAAAACTATATTTTTATATGAGATGCTTCTATGAACGTCACTAATGTGTTTAGGTATCATCATGCTCTTTCTCTTAATAAGTAAAAAGTAATTTAGCATTAAGGGGAATGGTAACCTCTTCATGAAAAACGATTAAATAGTGTAAACCACGTCCAGTCTCCAACATAACTTGCTTCTTTTACATCCACTTCGCAGTGCGTGAAGTGTGACTCAGTGAATTTTTATACATTTCCAATCTATATTCTGTAGACGAATTCCTAAAATAGATAATATATAGTCTATTGAATTGTATTATTGGTATCTTTTGTTGGCAAAAAAAAAAACTCTTATTATATAAAGTTTGGTTCTTCAAAAGTTACTAATTGCGATACATGACAATTATGTGTTCAAGATTGTGACAAGTTTGATAGATCTCATAATTAAAAATATATATACTAAGATAATAACAAAAACAAATTTTGTTTAAAAAATAATTATAATTATTATCTAATAGTAATCTTCTAGTTTTAAAACCCTGAACAAAAGATAATTATAAAAGATTATTTGATAGTATATTTTTTTTTAATATTGTGACATGGGTTTAAATATATAATCATTAAATATATATATATATATAATAAGATAATGAAAACGAATTTTGAAAAAGTAAATTTAAAATTTATTTCTTAGTAAAAGTAACTTTAAAATTTATTTATAGTATTTTTTTAGAAATTGTTTCAAAATCCTAAAGAAAAACAAAATTTGAAAAAAGTTGTAAAATATTTTGAAAAATAATTTGAAAAATATTATACTGAGGTTGATTCTTTAAAGTTTCTAATTAACATGATTGTGATATATGAAAGTTATATATATTTATAATTGTGATATGTGTTAAAATATATCATAACTAACGATAAATATATTAAGATACTAAAACTGATATTTGTTAAAAATTAATTATAAATATTATTTAATAGTAATTTTCCACCATTTCTAAAATCTTAAGCAAAATATAGTTGCAAATAATTATTGGATAGAAATTTTGATATGTTTTAAAAAAATATCATGATTAAAATATATATACAAAGAAAATAGTAAAAAAAAATTTGGAAAAATAATTTTCAAAAATGAAAATTCAATTTTAAAATTATTTAATAGGGATTTTTAGAAAATTTCATTTTTTAAAATCCTAAAGTTACAGATATTTGTAAAATAATTTATTTAATACTAGATTTCCTTTTCTAAAATCCTAAAGAAAAAATAACTGGAAAATATTATTTGATAGTAATTTTCCTTTTAAAATTTTGTTATGTGATAAAATATCTCATGATTAATAAAATATATAATAAGATTATGAGAGCAATTTTTTTTAAAGTAATTATTTATTTGTATTTTTCTCTACTTTTTTATTTTTAAAAATTTTAAACAAAACATACTAGTCAAATAATTTTTTTAATACCAACTATTGTCTTCTAAATTTCTAATGAAAAATATAACTGTCAGAAAATAAAATATCTAATAGTAATTATCTTTTTCTAACATAAAAATGTAAAAAAAAAAAAAAATTGTAAAGGGGTGTTTATGTAGTTTTCCTTCTTCAATTCCTAATCAAAATGTTTTTGGAATAATTAATTCTAATATTTTTATGAATAATCCACTTTCCAATTAAAATAGTTGATATTATTTTTATAAATTATAAACCAAAAAGAACTACAATTATTCACACACACATATATATGATTAAGTTCTCTCATGTTTTGTCACTTCTTTTATTTTGGTAGAAAATATAATAGGAGATCAAAAATAATATTAAATAAGGTTTAGCAATGGAGTTGCTCTAATATTCACATCTTCGCGTGATTTACTTTTTTTGGGTATCACATGTAGAGGAAATAACATGTGAGATCCTGATTTTCACATTAAAGTGATGTTGATTTTTTAAAAAATATATTATTATCATGATGTCGTATATTAGTTACTGCTACAAAAATATATCCACAAAAATTAAACATTAAATAAAATATGTGTAATGCACGGATCCTGGTATAGACATAAAGCATTAGCCATCAAAATTAGAATATTTAGTTAACCAACCTCACTTATACCGATAATGGTTCGTTTGAGTCTTGCGTGTGATCCAATGACATACATGAATTGAATATAACAACCATTTAAAAATATCGATCAGATATATAGGTTCGTTAGAAAGAAATTTGTCATTCTCTTTTGGAAGTAATACGATTTGTTGAAACGGATAAGAATTTAGGGTCTATACTATAGACATTCTCACTCATGCAATCCAAGTGGAATGCATGAAAAATGAGCAAAACTATTTTATTTTAAAGATGACTAGAGATGATTCATGGTGTAGTGAGTGTGAGCCAACAACAACACTTTCACCTTTTCTAAAGTCAACCTTTTTATTATACACATATATATATATATGTAAACGTCATTTACAATGACTCCAAATTGTTCTGAACAAAAAGATTGGTGTGTCCTGTGATAGTCATTTATAAATAAATAAATTTGGAAAAAAAAATGATGATCTATATTTGTTTATAACTGTAACGGTAAAAATTACAAGTGTATCTGTGATGAAAGCAATTGATGATGCTGTCTTTTAACCTGGATCAGATTTGTTGGATCAAAATCTAAACTAATCATTAATCTTACAAATGATCTACAACGTTTTGACTTTGTTCTCTTATATATAAATAAGATGTTTGGACTCGGATGCATGGGGTCATCATTTTGACATCTGCAGAGAGTCATCCTTTCGTCATCGATTCACTATCAACAACCTTTTGGACATTAAGTGGGCCACATAAACCTACTTTCCTTTAGCTGGCTCATTTGGTTAGGTATCTGATCTAGATAGTTAGGCATCAAATTCGTGATTACTTTCCAGTTAATTATCTTCTGATTTGAAAATCAAGATAGCAGAATATTTTGTCAAAAATAGACTTCATCTACGTCTTAATCTTTTAACCAATATGATTTTAAATCAGATTAACAAGTTTGATTTGAAAGTTTTTGGTTATTCAATAAATCATTATAGTTGAAATCAGTTTAAGAACTAAGAGCATGTTTATTGGAAGGGTGCTTAAGGGAGTGCTTAAAGGAGTGAAATGCTTAGTTTTGAAGAGAGAGAGTGTTGAAAGTGCTTAATTAAGCACTTTCAACACTCTCTCTCTTCAAAACTAAGCATTTCACTCCTTTAAACACCCTCCCTAAGCACCCCCAATAAACATGCTCTTAGTCTACCTTATTTAACTAAAAGACAAGTTATGAAACAACAAACAACTTGTGCCCAAAAAAAAAAAAACAACTTTTTCCTAATATGTATAAATGAAGTAAGAAAAAGCTACTTAAGACGACTTCGGTTATCTTTAACAATGTATAAGTAAACTAGTTGACAAATTATTTCAAAACTATATTTATATTTAACTAAAAAGGCATCGATAGAGAATTGAGATAAAAGTCAACGTGAATGAACTTGGCCTAGTAATACCAAACTTTGCTTATTGTGTATAAAGTAAACGCCAACTTTGGTTGTAGACCCCAAAAAGGTCTTATGCTTTCACATTTGAATGAACCTCCCTTGGTGGTTTTGGTAAACACAAAAGGAATATCAAAATATAAGGAAACAAAAGATAAATGTTAGACCAAACTAAAATAATTAGACTTCATACAAAGTCAACTCTCATTGCTGTAGAGTGGTTTGGTTACTGAACTTAACTTCCTTTCCAGAACCACATACCAACTCTCATTAGTTATCACTTATCACCTTCCAAAGTTTTACTATCTAGACTCAAGATTACTACTAAATCGTAATATAACAATTTCTGTAAACATAATATGTTATTCTAGTAGTATATATGAAAGCATCATCTAGTTGACACTGTTTTAAATAGAATCTACTTGACTGTGTAAGGTGAGCTCATTGTGGAACCAAATGCTTCAATGAAGGAGTAGTCCATAAGCGATGCCAAGTCTTAAAGTGATGACATAGTCGTATATTCTTGTCAACAGTAACCATCGCCAAACCATAGCTAAGTACCATTTTTCTTAATGTATATAAAATTATCACTATAGTCGTAGGTGTAACTGTCAAAACGATGTCGATTCTACTAGAGGAACTAGAAATTTAAAATTGTAACGTGAATAAAGAAACGATTCTTCTTATTAGCATTATTGTCAAGAATAATTTATATTTGTGTACAAAACCATATTCAAGATGATCGTAATATAGAATAATATTATCCTCTTGAAAGAAGTTATCATAGTAAAAATAAAAAACGTTGTTCTCAGTAGAAGAATATTCCAAGAACAACCTGTCTTCTTGATCCAAGATCCAATTCTCAAATCCTCCCACTTCGTCTTCCTCCGATGACGTTGCTTCAACGCAATTCTCATCTTCGTCAT